TCCCTTGTACTGACAAGAATCGGCAAGAAATTCAGCAAGGGCTGCTTTTTTAATTTCAACTATACTATATTTGAGGAAACGTAACGACCTAACGCACAGGACCTCACCCCAGAGATTTTTAAGAGAGCATGACAACTCTAGGTACTTAGTAACTAATATATTTCAATAAAACTGATTTTTAGAGTAGGTTGTGTAGATAGTCAATCTATTATTAACAATATTATTGTAAGAAAAAAAACACATTCGTACACTTTTTAGTCAATGATTTTTAAAATATTGATAATCAAAGATAAATTACACAATTACTTATTAAAACATAAAGCGTACTTTCTGCTCCTTATTTAAAAAGTTGAAAGCGGATATCTTGTATAATATATCAAAGGATTGAATTTTACTAACAGCTTATGAATGTCCGAATCTACCCCTATTACGGGGTACAATCGTACATGGGCCGGGGAACATTCAGACAGTGTGGTAACTTCATATTAAGTAAAATAACAAATTAATTAAAAAAAAAATTGTTTTCATTGATCTCAAAATTAATTATCAATGATGTAATAAACAAAACGACATATGCCTATAAGTCGTTTAGAGTCTAACTATCTTTTTTACGAAAACCGTGCATCCATTCTATATCAGCGAAGCCAGTTTCATTACAATTTTGCAAACATTTATATTTAAAAACTTTATCATAATCATTTGATAGTGTTGTGACTTCCAATATCGTGATTCAGAAATGTGTTTTTGAACTTTTTCAATTGATTAGTCTTTTCAGTAAAACTATTTGTCTTTTACTATATAAAAATACATTTTACAGACGCAAAAAAAACTCATTTAATGGATATTGGGAACGTATCTGCCTTTTCTTCTTAAAATTCCGATAATTTTTTCTAAATTTTCTGATATAATAATAAAAATTGTTAGCACACAGGGGGTTAGGGGGTACATACATACGCGTACGAATGTGCCCTTGCTGGAAATGTACGAACGTGCCCCGAAGATCAAGAATAAAATTATTTATTCTAACACATAACCCACGTAGAAAAATACACATAATAGATATATTATTATTATCTTAATCGTATTCACTTACGATTAAGCAATAATCCAGTAAAATTTGACGTGTAATTAAAGTACGGAAGATTCAAAAACATTAACAAAGTATTTACAAGAGCATGCCAAAACACTTTAAGTTCTCTAGTTTCGCTCGCAGTGGCTGCATGTGTGGCTAAATTCGTGGACAACTGGCAGTCGCCGGCGCCTATCCACTGACACAAAGTCGTAATAAATAGACTTTTCTACAAGATGTAGTAGTGACTGTATGAAGGTTCCCCGTGTACGAATGGTGCCAAACTTCCCCTACGAATTAACTTAACACATGGCTCGACGTCCGCCATCGACATCGATCAGTAGCAATAGTGTAATTACTGTACATTTCTTTGTGATTTTGAACTTTAAAGTTATATATAACCTTGCTGTTCGGTTAGAACGGACTTTTCTTGTTGATTGCTGAATGTTTATTAAGATGATTTAATTATCTATAATATATAAAGCTTAATTATTATGAATATAAGATTGAATAACTGATCATAGTTTTTTAATGTCTTAATTTCGAAAGCACAAGTTATTTGCACGTTACACTTTGCACAAAGGTCATTTTAGCCAGAAGTCATATTATTTTGTACGAATACCTAGTAATTTTGATATATATCGGGTAAGAATACAGGATGTTTAGAAATACATGTATAATTCCGAAACATGGCCATACAACTTAGCACAAAGAACATAATTAATATGTCAAAAAACAATTTCACGTAAATTGAGTTTTTTCATACAAATATGTCGTTGGTCCCGGCTGCATTTGCAGTCGTTAATACCCTCCAATCCGCATTGGGCCAGCGTGGAGGGTCATGGCCCATCCTCCTTAACCATCCATAAGGAAGGCCTGAGCCCCTGCAGTGGGGACGTAAAAGGGCTGGTGATGATGTGAACAATTTGTTTTGAATTAATATGCTACAACCCTGAAAGCTTACACGTGCCGTCCCGGCGTACTCTCTCTCTCTCTCTCTCTCTCTCATTACCTCTCACTCTCTCTCGTTTCCTAGAATACACTTTGATGTCGCCGACGCGCGCACTCGACTGCGTATGAGTTTACTTGTAATTAAAACTATTTAAGATTAAACAGGTACATACATATACTAGAGGTAGCGTTCTAATCACTCTTTCAGCTCTCACTTGTCAACATTACCTACACTTCACCTCCACTTTATCAGTCCAAGGTCTCGATATGCCGGCCACCGCATAAAACACATATCTCTATTCGATTCGACACAGACCGTGTTACTCTCGACGTAAAATCATATCCTCTGTCTCTATGGAATAGGTGTTCGGCCGGCCTTCCTGTATCAAACTATGAAATGAACCAGTTGTATGTAACCGATTCACAAGTGCCGCGAAGCACCGGTAAGAAGGAAGACGTCGAGGGTTTTCAGATCTTCCTGACACGTGGCGCTCGTCATAAAACCGCCGAGCCGCAGCAAGATTACCGTCACAAGCACCAACACACATTATCATCTCGTAATATTAGGCATTTGAGTACGAACTCATTGCACTGACCGCACACAAACACAACACACAGGTAAACAGAACGAGTATGAAAAACAAACCAAAAGTCCCGAAAGAACGAAAACGTAAGATGACCTTCTAAATTCTGAAAACTCACAAGTACGCCGATGAAAGTCTCGGACACGACTGAAGCGATGATCAAAACTACATAGGTAATTATTGCAACTCGAACACCAATGTAGGTACCTAAATCAAAAGTGCACCGATTTAGGATTCCGCGTCATCAAATTCTGTGTTGGGTAACCTACCTAACAAAAAGTCGTTATTTTATTATTTCATTAAACAAAGAAATTTCAATGTAACATATTATACTATTTTTTTTACTGACGAAATTGATAATTAGGCTGTTTACTTATTATTACAATTTTATTTACGCTTTTCACGGTTACAAAAGAAAAAAAGGCCATAATATTAAAAGTAGTAACCTAATTTAAGACCAAGTCATTAACAAAATTATAAGGCATAAAAATTATTGATTAAATTAGAAAAGAAAAGAAATATTATTTATTATTAGACCTTTCCATTACAACTAACCTTTATTTAATTATCATTTAAACTAAGAATAAGCGAGATATTAAGATTATTAATGTCATTGTATAAGTCCGTATTTTATTGTTTCGTGAAAATAACACTGCTTTATGAAAAAAAGAACAAAACATCAAAGCAATTAATCTACAGAACATTACTGACACATCAGAAACCCGAGTTTCTCAATACACATCGTCGTCGATTTTATGTCACTTTCGCTCCTTCTTGCATAGACTAATGTGAGCAATAATGCAGATATCTAACTTCAATGCAATTTCTTTGTTTATTTTGACTGTATTATTAGAGAAGTTTTCTTAATAATAGTTTTTGAAACACCGTTAATCACAAGATTGGTGTACTTTTATGGTTAAAAGTCATTTACTACTAACTTTTTCTTTGTTTTTGAAATACTAAATTACTCTCGGATATAATTTTATTCTAGGAATTTATCTTTAGATTTATTTAACTTCTGTTATTTTTTAAACTAGTTCGGCACATGGCGTCGATGACCAAATATAACACAACACCTGTTTTTAGGGTTGTCAGCGTACAGTTTTACTTCGAAGAAAAAAGCTAAATATCTAGGTCATGTGCTGGATTTCAGACTTATGTAGTGATCATTTTTCTGGGTTCAATTCATCATACCGTATGTTCCATATTCGGGATTATACAGGTATTACCAAACACGCTGTATAGACAATAAATGGATTTTTTATTATAATTATCGGTTTTATGACTTTTTTTTACTGATTAATAAACTCTATTCATTCTCTCACTATTCATAATATAAAAATATTATTGACACTTGATGTAGTTTTGTTGTTGTAAGTTCAACAAACAACTAATAGCAATAAAACTAACTTACTTAGTTGTTATTGTTTTTAGAACTTTTGTTAAATATTATAATGAAAAATTCCTAGACCTACTATGACATAAGTATTTTATTCATAAAAACTATTTTACGGTAATATTATTGTATACCATAGGTAAATGCCACTTTTAATAATTTCACAGGATTAATTTAATTGATTTCCATAACTTTTAAAAAACCTTCTTTTTGCTCACTTCCATTATCTTAGTAGCCATTAATTCCAAATAAAAAAGAAATGTATTCAAAGATTACCTACTTCGTATTAATCGAGTTGCGTTTGCGTTACTCGAACTAATGAGGAAGTATTTAAAAAAAAAATCGTTCCCAAAATCAAACTAGATGTCGCTACGGTGCTTTCTTGATTTCTCCATGACAACCCTTCCGGTTTTCTTTTATGTATAAAAGTAAATTAATTTTCAAAAGTCACTAAACAACTCATGTTCTATTTGTACTTTTTCTTATATGAATTGATATCTAAGTTTTGAACTTTGCAAATTTCAGCTTTTTAATTTGTTAGTTAAAATGAAAGGAAATGACTATCTTTCGTCCATTCGTTTCCTGCAAAAATCAACTTTTGCTAGAGTCGCCGTCTAGTGAGGTGCTTTTTAAATGCTATCTTTATTTTATTTAAATACTTCCTCATTGAATTTCAACTTATATTAATCCGAGTTATCAGATCCATACAACACTAACAATTCTATTCTCTTTGGTTTAACGTCATGAATTGACATTTAGATCCTACAATTTGTGCTGCCATCTAGTGACATAAATTTTATTAGTTTCTTTATTTTTTTTAATTCCTCATTAACGACCAAGTAGTAATATAAAAAAATACTTCTCGATACTACTCATCTGAGGTTCTACAATATCTGTGCCATAAGTATTCGGTAACGAAAAATAGTATCGAGTAAATACTTGTATTGTATATCCCTACTCTATGATCTTTAGCTGTCGTTGCTGTCATTGTCATTGTTTTAGTTCGATAAAAATGACGAAGTTCGTGTGATTCGCGATTGATTTAATAAAATTATTGTGTTATCGACAACATGACAGTTTGGGAGAAATTAGAAAATGAAGACTGTTACGCTGTCGGTGAGTTTCGTTTATATAAACTATGTTAAAAGAAATAGGAGTGGATTTTATCTTCTCACTTATCCTTGCCACTTGTTGCTAGTGTTACCTCCTGCTGAGTATGAGATAAATATAAACATTGTATCATATACACCATACACCCAATAGTTACCGAAACTATTCTGTTAGAAATTGACCGTAATTATATCTAGGTAAAAGACGTATAATTTTTTTTTTTTTGGAAAGAGCCACTCCCATTTTCAAGGCAAAACATGATTGATGCCTAGTTCGTTAAGTTTAAGAAGGCATTATGACGTTCAATTAATGTTTTTATAACGATTCTATACACATAATCTTGTTAAATGTTATTAAGTTAAATAACTTATTAATTAACTCTTGTTAGAAAATATGAAACATAATATAAGAAAAATAATATAGTAAAAGTAGCTACTACATAATTATTTCATAAAGTCATTGCTATTATTTAAACAATTTGTTGGTATTTATGTTCAATACATAATTGATAATTTTGACCCTTGGAAATAGGGGTCTTAAAAATGTAAACAATCTTTTTGAAGGCTATAGGTAAATCATTATGTTTTCTTTAATGAGAAATTATTTCAAACACTCATAGGGTAAGGCTTGCTTTATAATTTTCAATTATAATGGAGCACTTTTTATTTGTTTAAAATATGGTAATAAAAGTGAATTGATTTAGAGTAAATGAGTTAAATAGATAAGATAACATTATGGCTCATGTTTCCATTACATGACATTATATGTTTTGAGTTTTGAGATGTTAAGTTTTAAACTCAGAATTGAATAGAATTTGAGATATAACTAACAATTTTAGGTTAGATTTCTATTTTGACAGTGATAAAAGAGTTTAACTAAAATCTTTGACTTATGTATGACAAAAAATTTATGATAAACAATCTTTATACTACTATCTTTCTACTGTATTATACATATAAATCTTCGTTTTGAATCACTCTGTATATTGTGAGTTTCCTTTATTAAGCAGTTTTCATCTGCTTGAAATTTGTTGTGTACTTTAAAAGGACTCAGCATACAGACAACAGTAAGCAACTTTATTTTATACTATGGAGTTTCTACTAATATGTGATAATACATTGCATTAGAAATTCAGAGAAAAAATAAAGTACTCTAACTAATCTGCCTTAAATCAAAATATTCTTAAATTTTATATTCAGAGTCCTCTTTCTGTTTGTTATTAATATGTGTAAATAACCTTATTTGTATGAATAAATAAAAAAATAAATATAGACATGCACCAAAGCAAACACATAATACCCTGTTTCTGTTAACTATAGTCTGGTTCTAACTGAAAATGGAATTAAGTTCCTCAATCATGTAAACATTATACTCCAACAGTTAGCCTATCAGGGATGAAGCTTGTTTTGATTGATGTGTGCTGAATCAAATTGAACTAATTGAGTAAATAAGGAAAACTAATATTTCCATGTATATATTTTATCAGAATTTTACTCTAAGAAAACAATTTTAATATTATTATATTATATTTACTAATATTTAGTATATAAATACTACAATGTTTCTCTTATGTTAAATGATATCAATATGGAGGAATGGGGGTGTAGACAACTTTTTAAAATATTGTATATTCTATTTTATAGATGTACATGACATATATTAAAAAAGGATTTAAAAAATATCATACATATAATAAGTTAAAATCTAAATATAAATTCAATTTTTAAAATTATTTGTACTAACGCCACTTCCCTCATGGCGTCGCAATGACGTCACGGGACTCTGAAAAAATTTTCGATCTATCCTATTAATATCATAAATGTGAAAGTTTCTTTGTTTGGATGTTTGTAGGTGAATCACGTCGAAACTAATGAACGGATTTTGATGAAATTTGGTATACAGCTGACTTAGATAATAGGATTTATCCCACTCAATATTTCCCTAGGGTCCACGCATGAAGCCGCTGGCGAAAGCTAGTGTTTGTGTAAAGATGAATTCTCTAAGTTCTGATATGAGTAAAAGGGGCATGACGTCATGAGCTGTTTGCAGTCACTTGACAACGAGCATAAAATATTTGTTTATTCATAATTAGTTTAAACAATGTTGTAAATATAACAGGCATAAAAGTGTGATTATCATGATAATTTCATCTATCGGAGGATGCCAACAAAAACCGTGAAAAGAAGGTCAGTATTTTTTCCAACGGCAGATTAAAATATAATTTGCTAGTAGAATTTATCAGTGCTCTTATATATGTTCATTTACCTACATCTGTTATGTAATATAGCACTAATGCTATAAGGGTTTTTGATGAAAGTTCCCTTTTATACAAAAAAAAAAATCTCTATTAAGACAAATTTCTTAACATGTTTTGTATGCAGAAAATAATAAAGTGCCTTTACTTGGTTGGCAACCCTACTATTAAATTAACTGAGCTCTTAATATCCACCAATCCCGAGTTGATTTATTCATGGTTATTTTTCTTATTTAGGATTGGTTTGAAATAGAGTACATTTATTTCACATAAACATTAAGTTTCTCACTGTCAAGTCATAATATCTATTTTAAGTTACTTTTCATCCCTTTACAACTCCTACACCATTTAATCAATATGCAAGTAAAATGGTGCTTCTAAATTTATACTGACTCAAATAATCATTAAAAACCAAACCCACTTATAGATAACTTGGAAACAGGATATTTGGTCCTGTCCCAGCCCTCAGGTGATTCATTCCAGTTAAGGGATAGGCCAAAACGGTGAGCCCGTTTTGGCCTATCCCTTAAAAATAGTGTATCCCTTAAAAATTAAAAATAGTTATATCCCGTGAATAGCACAAGAAATATAGCATGTATGTAGGAAAACAATGTTATTTTAGTATCTCTACTTCAACGACAACACTTGGGATGTAATTTAAGCTTACTGGCGGACTTAGAGGAGGGGGGACTACTACTACTGACTTGCAAATAAAATACAGCTTGTATGTAAAAAAATGCCGAGTCAAATCTTAAACATGAATTCCATCTTGGCACCTATGTAGGCCTATGTCTGAATACCTCTTCATTGGTGCCAAAGGTTATACCGTATACTCTTTTGTGGTGGAGTCTAGAACGACGCATTATTTAATATCAAACTTTGCTCTTCATTGACATTTATGTTTTGGATATGATAAATGAATTACAAAATCAATATTTTCTCTTTAATTATAACATGTTCTATTCTTTAGATTAGCTTGGTGGACTTATGTATGAGAATGCATTTAATTATGTTTTCTATTTAATAGTCACATAATAGTTAATGTATATTTTTACTTTTTCCAACTCCCGTTTAAATATCACAACAGTTATTTTTATTAGCATTTTACTAACTTTACCAAAATTTCTAATTTTATCAGCAATTTACAGCTACCGATATGGTATCTTTTGTTACCGATAATGTTTTGTAACACTGCATATCATATTTTTGTTATTTTCGATAGTATTTTGTGACCTTGACATTATGCAAGTAAGCTATGAAGTTTTATCTGAGTGAGAGAGAATGTTTTGTCTGGTACTGTTAAGATAATGTAATTGTAGGCGATAAAGTTAAACCATTATTTCCCAAACTATAGGTCGCGAACGAATAATGAGTCTGCCGTAACGGGCGATCCGCCACTGCTTGGAGTATCAAATTGTATTAAACATTTTTTTACAATCAAAACCAATAAGAAAGTATGAAATAGATTCACGAGGCGTCTCTAGAGACTCTTGAGCATTACAGATATTTAGTCTACTTTTTCTCTAAAATAGCTGCCATGATTGGACAGTTTTTGGTGGGTTGGAGCTAAATCAACTTTGGGAATCACTGGGCTAGATGATAAAGTTAGATATTCACCGTGTGACAGGAAAAGTAAGGGTAACGCAAGCGGAAGGAATTTCATATGGTCTTAATCTTCTATGGTCGTATGCTTCTAAAATCCACCAAAATATGCACATGAAAATATTAAGTAGGTAATAAATAAATTTATTATGACAAATTAAATTAAAAAATATACTACTGTACTTAATTGTCTTCCTGTTTTGTTGTACCAAACCCAATGTGCAAAAATATTCCCAATATTAACATCTAAATCTATTATATCAAACGGTCCCCTTTTCCTGTTGTCTCCCGTCGTCGAGGATGTAGGAAGGTCCAATTATTGCCTGTCAAAACACGTGACCCGATAATCGGATTGCGGTGATTTTGGCAATACAAGTGAGATTTTGCTAGATTAAATAGCGATTTATGCAAAATTTCATTTAACATATACAATACATTGATATTTAGATTGTGCTTTTCGGAATAAAGCATTCTCCCTTCTATCCTTCAGAAAAAATGGGAAAGTAACGAAACTTGCTTTCATTTAAATGCAAAAATTATATTATATGAGATCAATTTTGCATTTACAATGTCGTATTGATTAAAAAAAATACTAATTCCAGGTGCCCATGACTAGGTTAAACCTGCTTTGTTCCTACGTACTAAAATTAAGAGAAAAGTTATAAAATTCGCTTGTTTCGCAAAAGTCCCGGATAGCTCAACATTCGCCCAGAATGAGAACTGTTTGAAAAATATCGGCAAATAAAATTATTAACCAAGTTACTATCGTAAATTCTCGGTCGGAATGGGGTCGTCTCGATAGTTTTGTTTGATCAGAACCGACATCATTTCGATTCTGAATAAAATAAACCAAATGGATATGTCTAAAAAAATATGGAGTTTTATGCGATTTCTGAGCCCAGCTCGAGACTGAATTCTACCAAATTATATATCTCACCTTTACTCTCGTCCTGACATCTCTCAAAAATTAAGAATGATTTAGGTTTTTGATTTTATATTCTTTCAGGTCGAACAGATGCTTTCCGAGATGTTCTGTGTACATATATGGAGTAGAGGTTCATAACGATATAGGACTTTTTCGGTATTTCACGCTTTTTATGTTGGCAGTGCACTTCAGTGTCTTTTATTATAATAGTATTTCTATTGTTATCTCGTCATCATTTTTGAGGGACTTTAACAAAGTTTAACTTGGTTCATTTTATCGAGTGTTTTTTTTATAAGTTATAAAATTCTGTAATAATGTTTATGGTTTATGTTAAGATAGCATAGTCGTATCGTTATCGGCTTTTTCGACTGGCTGATATAATTTTTTTTTCTCATATAACATTGATATCGTTGGTTGAAGTATTTTATATTATAATGAAACCCAAAATATTAGCAGTTGCTTTATAATACTTTATATATTGCTTATGCAGACAAAGCTGCGTGCCTTCATTAGTGCATCGATCGATGCCAATAGCGGTATTATATTTCTCCTAGTATCGAATGGCAGGTGCACTATGGAGTCGTATTCGCACAGATATAAAATATGTCTAGACATGAAGATAGTGAAAATATTTTTATCGTTAAAATGACGTTGATTACATTTAAGTTTGATTTTAATCTTTAAATACCGGGAACTAATACTGTATTGTTGAATACAAATTATGAATAGTGATAAAAAAAACTATTTATTAATAAACTATTTATTATAACCAGTGGTCGGAATTAGGTAGAGTTATTCATGTACTTACACTGATTTCATACAGCTAAAGAATAAAGTGGATATGCCTCAAATACCGAGATTAATTTTAAAGAGCAGAAAAATCCCGTGATTTTTTAAATAAAAAGTTATTTACTTTACACAATTTAAACTACTGCACGCACGACGTTGCCAAACTTACATCAATGAAAGAAAGAAATAAAGAAATCCCGGGAAGGTCCACATTAATATCAACATTTCGATGCAAGTACATAAATAACTCTACCTAATTCCGACCTCTGATTATAACAAAAACGTTTATTTTTGTGTACTTCACCATCACCAGCCCTTTTACGTCCCCACTGCAGGGGCTCAGGCCTTCCTTATGGATGGTTAAGGAGGATGGGCCATGACCCTCCACGCTGGCCCAATGCGGATTGGAGGGTACTTAATATTCGAATACTCAATATTTTATTTTCATTCGTTGTCGTCTATTTCTTTCTTTTACTTGTATTGGTTCTGGTTGATTATTTCATTTATCAAATTCGTAAAAACATTTATACAATTGTAAAATGAGTCACAGCAAATATAGTGCAACAAATTGTGACTTTATTATTAGAATCTCACATTTTCGTAACAAATTGAATTTACATATCAAAATAAATCGCATTCATAAGATCATCACAATAGTCTCTTAGTAGCTTTTTAATAGAAATAATAAATAAATAATTAGCGGTACATTATTATTTGTTTAGATCTTTCTTCACGTTACTAACTCTATAACGATTCAATCGTCATTCGCTATGCGGTTCTCTTGATTTGGGTGCGCGGGCGCATGTGACGCGACGTTGAATCACGCATTCCGTCCTATTGTGATGTATTAATTGTTCGATATGTAAGTACTGTACCATCACTAATCCAGAAAAGGTAGCTACGAATTGTCTCATTGCCATTTCTTAGATATTTAAATTAGTATTTTTTTTTTGCATATGAACATATGTGTTATTTCTAAAATTATTTAAGAAATGTTTGATAATTGTGCTTTCGAGATGTTTGCTTTGAAAACAAATGTGAATTGTGTTCCATTGAATTTGTTGTTTTCTTAGGAATGTTAATTTTTATTTTCTATTGGATTTTTTTACAAAATCGTTATAATTTATTAAACTCGATATTGATATTGTTGTGGCAATCCTCAACTTTCGATATTTTTACAGGAAGGTTTTGTTAATTTTTTTTTATGAACGGTGTGTCACGAAGTTCTTACAAAATACTTTCACGCAAGTGTCCAACGTATTTAATTAATGCTTATATAATATGATACGAGTAATTTATTTGTATGATTTCATACATCCGTCATACATTTGCATACATTTGACTGCCTTGGTATGTTATGAAAGTTTTGGCAAACCTATTGTTCAACATTTCCATCCATAGAGGTCTCCTTTTTAGCATGTAAAGGTTAGCGCTCACGTATAAGAGCTTAGGTAGGTACTTAAATGTTCTTAGGTTGATAATGTTAAAGTATTAATTTTCACTCCAATTTTTTAAACTGGCGTCATGCCTCGTCAGAACTAACAAATATACCTATGATATGACATTCAAACTTGTAATCTGGACGAAAATTCCGTACTAATGCATACATCCGTGAGAGGTGTGACGGAACTTACCAGGTACCACTACCTAACCGCCACTACATCTACAAGATTAGTAGTATAATTACCTACGTAAGAGTAAAAAATTATTGAGCTAATATTTCAAAAATAGTTAATTGCATATATATTATTTATATAACTCTAATATTAATTAATAAGTATTTCTAGGCCTTTTAAATTATAAAAAGAGGCAAAATCGACAAAGCATCTTTCAGTTAAGTCATTTTTTTATAATTTTCCCCTTTTTTTGCTATTTGAATTATTACAATCCAAATCAATGCAGACATTCATCAGATAAATACGCTTACTAGCGCATAAATAAACAAAAAAACGTAATACAAGAAGATAGAGATTAATGTTTTATGAAGAGCAAAATGGATTTGTTTCTGAAAATTACTAGTTGAAACATACCGTTACTGTGAACTAGTGCCAGTGAGTGTTGGTCTTTAATATGTCATTAGTCGTTAAAGAGACTTATATTTAGACTTCAGTCAGGCTAATTGATATGGGCCGGCGTAAGTGCTAACGGTCGTTTAGAAATTGCGTGAGAGGGGTGGTTAATTATTAAATGCTTGTCAGTTTACAAACATAACATATTACAAATATTAGTATAGTGTAATGTTATTTGTGTAAAGGTTTACTCTAACATCGCATTAAGCATGAAATCTGTCCATGATTGTATGTGACGCGCGGATCTCTAACAGCTTGTTATTTTCAGTACTTTAGCTTAATGAAAACTTTTACTCCTATTAAAAATATTCAGCAACATAGATTGTAAGTATTATGTACAGTGAATCGCCAGAATTTAGGTCAAATTTAACTTCAATACAAGCTATTGAACTCGGAACAAATAATTTAACTATTTAACCGACTTTCTGACGATAGTATTTTAGTTAGTTATCACTACATAGTATAAAACTAAGTCGTTTTCTCTGTACCTATATTCCTATGTAAGTTTAAATTTTGTAGAGTTTTTTCATAGATAGGGTGATTCAAAAGGAAAGTTTTTACGTATAATACAAGACCACGCGGGCGAAGCCGCTAGCGGAAAGCTAGTATTTATGTAAAAGTATGAGCAATGTCTGTGAAACTTAAATAATAGATAGGATAGTATGACTATATATCCCTCACAAAATAATAAATCACCTCTAAAAAAATGCCTTTAGACAATATTCGCATATATAATTCGCATATATTTTATATACATTAGGAAATATTTTACTTAGTACATTTTTCACAAGTAATAAAATTAATTAAATTAGTATTTATATTAGCATTTTCATAGTAGAACATACGCAGAAACCATTATTACTGCTATTTATAAAGTGTTAATTATGTTATTTACACTAATTGTCCTTGTTTATTGGTTTCGAGATAGCTTTATAAGCGAACTAACTCGAGTTCATCCTTCTATCTTAAAATATGTCGCCCATTCTATAGTAACGTAGAATAATAAAAAAAAAATGTTAGGAATAAATAATAACGAAGTTCCTTTAAATACAACTCTTAACCCAGGTACATTATAATTGTAGTTTTTTTTGGAAATGATTGGTATGATTATTAATCATTATTTACAAGATTTGAAAAAGACAATGATTGTTCGGTGTAGTATGCTATATACAAAATGGATACTCTTAAAAAAATCATGCTATTCTGGATTTCTACTGTTAATAAATAATGTGCAAGTTCTAAAAGTAGTGTTGTACGTTAAATAAGTATTTCAAGATGCATTTGACTCCCAGTATTAAAAATGCATTTGATAATATTGGAGAAATAAAAGTTGCGTTTTTGGAGACAAATAACTACTAACGTCAAAGATATAATTTTCTCAGAACGTAAATTGTTTAATATGTGTCACAGAGATAACCGTTTAGAAAGTAGGCTAGTTTAATTTATTGGACCTACTTATTGATATAAGGAGACAGACAAATTCCAAGACGGACCGTTGGTTGGGGTCAGTAATATGTTGGGGTCAGTGAAATTCTAACTCAAATAAAAAATAGTTTTGAGATGACAGTTTTTTTCTTCTCGTCTCAATTGGTCCTAGTGCTTGTGTATTGATCTGAAGTTTTTTTAAATTAAACTCATTATTTTTTATTATATTTTTTACGCTTAGAACGGAACTGTTGTCATCATCATTACCAGCCTATGAATATCCCCACTGCTGGGGCTTTCCCTTTGGATAAATTTAATCAAATCAAATAGCGAAGACGGTACATGATACACCACGCGGGCACATTGCGGATTGGTGGGTGTTAGCGACTGCAGATGCAGCTGGGATCAAACGGCTTAAAGTGCCTTTTGGAGCACGGAAGATAAAAAAAGTTTTTGGTAACCCATCCTGTGAACGTTCCTTGCGAAAGTCCCTTAATAACCGTATCAAAGACCGAGCGCACTAAACACTGTGCCATCGAGCTCCTTTATAACGTAAATAATAATGTCTCATATTACATGTACTTAATATAGTGGAATAGTAATACATAATAATTTAACGCGTTTGTGCCCTGTTAATCGTCAATTTGTTTCACATCCTTTAGAAGTGACAGACATGCGATTTATTTTTGTTTACTGTATCTGAACTATGGTTTTGTTACAGCAATATACAATTTCAATAGTGGTTCCCAAAACCACCTCTGTCTGGACGTTGGAGAGCTGGTGCACGTGCAGAGGGAAACACGTCACTGGTACTGGGGGCGGAGTCTTCGGAAAGAAGGCTGTGGAGCGTTCCCAAAGAGTTACGTGATCGTTAGAGATTGTAACGTAGACAGGTAAATCTATAGATACTTATATAAAGAGGTAAATTTTCTAACTTTGTAGAAGGTAATCTCCGGAAATACTGACATGCTCGTGAAAATTTTTTTACGTACGGGAAACTACATCATACGGGTGCTATAGATAGCGAGACAATACTTAGCGAAGAACTTGATTCTTTAGTATTTAATGTTAGACTGGAGTCATCGAAAAAAGCTATGCAAAATTTCAATTTCTTCCCAATATTTCATCTTTCAGAATTAACATCTTCGTAATTTTCATAGAGATAACTTTACCTCAGAGACTACTGTTTACTACTTAATATATATTCGTCAAACTTGTTACAATTATTTTTGTTAACACAATGGATATAGTAAGAATAAAGCCCAGAATTATCTGACACGTTTTATTTTCATTAAATTACTCTTATTTATCAGTATTGGGAGATGGCCGACTAACCCAGACAATTCAGGGGTGAGTGACTCGAACTAATAAAGTTATTCTGGATTAACACCTCGGTTTTGTAAATCGATCAATGGTTAATTTTTGAATAAAATAAAATTGTTGAGCGCCACCGCTGGTCGAGTCCCAACGAACCCGGATTAATAATATGGAAAGACTGCACCTTATTGGAGAGTGAGGGCGAACGTTCAGCCCTGACTCTGATAAGTCTTTGCTCGTAGAAACGGGACCAGAAGCGAAGAAAATAAGGGAGTTGTACCATCAACAACTGATACTAGGAACGTCTTGTACAGTACCGCCGGAACCAAAAACCTCCTGAAATCAATGCGTATTTGAGTTAATATAATCTCAGCGCTAGAATCATAGCGTAAGCAGGCCCAGCGGGAAAGAGTACAACCTTCATATAATGACGAGTGCCGTTCGAGGGCGGAGTGACAGGATCGTAGTATTAAAATAAAGCCTCTAAACATCATCTGACGTCATGAGAGCATTTGACTCACAACTTACCCTCTTTTCGCTTCGGCGGCAAAAGTTGCTTGTCCATCGGTACAAAAAAATCGTACCTTTTGGAAGAAAGCACTACCACGCGTCAACTCCGGAGGGATGATAAGTCAAGGGTCGTCGTGATATTGACGCGCCGCCCACGCGTTCGACGTCGCGACAACACCAACGCTGAAGTCAGCTCTCTCGAACACAGCTAAGCTAGCAATTTCAATTTGACAATTCCTGTCAGACTTACTGGGAATGATTTATGAAGCCCACATGTCGTTGACACACATGTATCAAATATTCTATGTAACAAACTTATAACTACGTACCGTTATTTGGTCAGTCAGGCGCTCAAAAACTCATGTAAAACTTCTCCTTTCTTTAAATAGACAGATGATTTCGGGTTGAAGAGAGAGTGGGAGAGAACAGGAAGACGTTGCCAATAAAAGTAAAGTATTGAAAATAACAACCTGTTTTCATTCTCATTTACCAATAACTTAAGGTTACCGCAAAATCTTGATTTTTAACAAAAAATAAAGTTTGAAACCAATAATTCGAGAAAGAAAAGTGAATTTGGAAGAACTATTTGAAACGTATTATTCATCTTACAAAAGTGTGTATGATCATTATTCATAGTATCATGACAGACATCATATCTTATTTTAGGTTTTGATTTAAGCTTTAAAGTGTTCGAAAATTAGACAGGATTTTTTTTAGACAGGATGTCGGAAATGTGAAGGGACTGTAACGTCGACAGACTTGTAACTAATTATGGAACTGACCATTAACTACTGTAACACTGATATAGAAACTAAATCAGTTGTATATAAACATATGTGATTCTTAGCTCCAATAAATACCGTTATATTTTTCTAACAGATTTTGAAAAGAAGTAGATGTTAAATATTATGTTTAAAATCTTATTTGCTTAACTATTTTCTTTTAATTAAAAAAAAAACTTTTATTTGGTAAATCTTTTTTTTTTACTATTAAAAACCCTATCTCAAAACAATATTAGCCCAGTGACCTGATACAACATTCTGACCCAACAATTGACCGGTTCGTCGACCCCCGATAATCTGTGAATCATGCGCATGTTTAATTGATATATTATTATCGCTGGACTGCCTCTGATATATGATATTGCGCTACTGTAATAGGAGATGTTATGAATAATTTTAAATGTAAGTTTTTTGAGTATCCTTTGTGTAGATGAGGATCGTTGGGAAACAAATTTAAATAAAACAACGATGAATTGGAATGTTTCGTTATCAAAACATGAAAACTTCTCGTTTGGTTCACTATTTTGATTGGTTATTGTTTTTTTGGCGGTAATTCTTTCTTGAATAGATACTTCATAAAGGTGTGATATGATATTTTGCTCTATATTAATGTGAAATATATAAAACTTCGTAAAATATGAGAACATCAGAATGAATAAGCCTAAGATCTAGAAAATAACATTATGTATCGATGTTTAAAGTTGCTATTTGTTAATGTTATCAAAATTGGGTACTTCTATCACATCTATATAATTTTAAATATTTATTACGGTTTTTGTATGAAATTCTGAAAAATCGTTATAAAAATCAACTAAAACTATCAAATTTTTTTATATCGAATAACCTTATTTGTTTTCAGATGTGGCGGAACAATAATAGCCTCGGCTGGTGGCAGTGGCGTTTCACACGATATAGCACAAACTCTCAGAGAATGGCTTGAGCAATGGAAGAAACTATACATCGTAAGTGATTCATTCATTAATAATTCACTTTTATCTATAATTGTAAGTAATACAAATGTCGGCATTGTAAAGGGCCACATATAATCTATTCTCTAGGCCGATTTTTACTTCTATTGAGAGGGAACGAGCAGTAAAAGCATTTTGTTTTTCTTTAATTTTCAGATCACCATGGTTCAATGTAATATGATGAGATAAAAGTACTATACTAGATAGAAGCTTTATTTCAGTTGTTTCGACACATAATTAACGGTTACTATAGACGGGCAACATCACAAGCTAATGTTAACTAGTGTTAATTACACTGCCTTGGGAAACAAATATAATATTTGTAGAGAATAACTCTGTGCATTTCAAAGAAATAGACCGAGGAAATGTTTTGTGTTTTGCAACGGGTTTGCAATTTTGTATATTATTTGAAACATTTATTCCAAAACATATGATATATTTTTATTAATAAACGTTTCAAACAACCGTGTTACAACAGCAAAAAAATTACTCTATACAATGCCATGACGAAACATGCTCAAAACTAATAAGTGAACAAAGTCCAAACTTAAAGCTTTTGCAACAAAAGGGTTCATCTTTGTATGAAATAGAACTTATAATTGTAATTAAAAAAAAAATGATTTTTAAGTGTCATTTAAAAACAAATATTTGGACAAAATAAACACGTTTCCTTGCCTTAAACTACGTCATTCCGATATATACACGAAAAAAATGCATAGAGTTGTAGATTAAAAGATGTCAATAAAACAAGAACAGCGACATCTAGCGATCCACTTTAAAATAAAAATGTACAAATACGGTAAAACGGTGCCATCTAGAAATTTGATTTACAATAAGTAGGAATAATGTTAACGACACTCTGAAAGATGTTGCTGGAGCGACGTCACACTACGGCGGGTCGTATTTCAAGCAGGGTTCCGAGCACAGAACATAGAGAGAGAATAGAAGTATAATGATATTGATTTAGTATGGGAACCGAGTGTCGCCTCTCCGCACACAAATACAGATTAGATGAAATGATCATTTTGTTCACTACATGAAAAGCTGCCATGCGATACGTTCGTGATAACATAAACAGAATCCCAAAAAGATACTAAGCTAAGAAATCACACGATTAAAAACAAACTCTAATTCAACGTGATAATAAATAATTTACTTTAACATGAATGTTGAACTGTCACGTGGCTGTATACGGGGATACCAGAAGGGAAAAAATATTTTAAGATTATGCACATTTTAAAAAATTGGGGACATCATTTTATGTGCGAACTATTAAAATTAGATTTTGCTGTAACCAAGTGAATATTAAAAAATAACGCTTTTCCCTATATAACTTCTTTTAAAAAACGCAGTACAAAAACTAAGAAAACTTAATGATAAACACTATCATATGTCTGTGGAGTAATATAATTAAGAGAGGGAAAGTGTAAAAAGAAACAAAAATTAAGAAACCAACAGAATTTTTGTATTAATTACATTAAGCCTAATTTGAAATTTTTTCTTACTGGTATCATTCCGATTGTGCATATTAGTGATGTGACATAATAGTAGTTGATGAAATAAGAGGTTTAAATTTTGTTATGAAACAGTAAAATGTAATTCAGTTCGACAATGTTCTACAGTGGTTTGATAGTAATTATTTAAAGCTTAATTCATATAAAATGAAATACATAAAGTTTGCATTACCTAATGTGAGGCATATTAATACACTTATAAATGTAAATAGTGAAAAAGTTGAGTTGGTGAAATCGACAAAGTTCCTTGGTATTACACTAGATTACCGACTGCAATGGGATCCTCATATTGATAATTTGTCAAGTAGACTGAGTTCTGCAGCATTTGCTGTTAAGCAAATTAGACTCTTGACAAATGTTGAAACGGCAGGATTGGTATATTTTAGTTATTTTCATAGTGTAATGACGTATAATCTATTGTTGTGGGGTTCTTCGGCTAGCATTCAAGATATTTTTATTCTACAAAAGAAAGCTGTCCATGCTATATATAATTTATGGTCTAGAGAATCTCTCAGAGAAATATTTAAAGAAATAAATATTTTGACTGTTGCCTCTCAATACATCAATGAAAATATTATCTACGCAAGAAAATATTACGATTCCTTCACAAAAAAAAGTAGTGTTCATAATCATAACACAAGAAATAAAAATAAACTTGCCGTTCCAAGCATCAGACTTCAGAAAACCAGAGGATTTACATTGCTATGTTCAATAAAGTTCCACAAAATGTAGTTGACCTACCCATAAATAAATTTAAAATTCATGTAATGAACATACTTATGAGTAAAGGCTTATAAAATTATAAAGTAAATTATAAAGTTGATGATTATTTTAAGAATCGCAATGCATGGAATGAATAGCCATCGCTTTGTTCTATAAAGACTATATGTTCAACCTATGTCCTACAGATTTTGAAAGTTGTATTTATTATTGTGATAAGATATGAAATGACATGATTTATGTAAATATCATAGGGCTGGTAAGTTCCTTTCGCTTGTTCTTCTTGTCAGCTAAAAGACGTCCTGAACAAGTGGTAGGGGAAAAAAAATTTTTGGACGATTCAAAAGCGATTCATAATAACTAATATGATCATTACAATAATAAATTGATCATAGCCATGTTTGTTTTACTTTATTATTCTAAGTTTTATAACTGTAATAATAATAGTACCTACATTTTTAATTGCAACGACTGGACAATAAGGAATCGCTGGTCAAGTATGAGTTTGAAAGCCGTGACAAAAAAGCTTGAAGACAGACACAAAAGCGATAAGTACGTACAAACGTCAATCTACATATAAAGTCACATGCGTTTATAAACTTATGTGCAAATATGAAGCAACAAAAAAACTGATAAAAGCTGTTCTGTGGGCGGTTCTTTAAAGTGGCTATCTTAACTCAATTTCTATAATAATGGTTTCCGATTATGAATCAGCATAATAAAGTAAATTAAATTGACGCCTATAAATTAATTTTGCAAATTAAATTCACACCACCAACAATATTACATTAGTTGAAAACATGATTTTTTGTTTGTATAGATAATATGTTGTTTTGAAATTCATTTGATAAGTTTAGGTCTAAAACGGATAGGACAAAATAAATTATGTAAACAGGGCAATCCGTTGTAAAGTTATTAGGGAAACTGAAATATAAGTAATGCAAAATAAGTGAAATCCAGTTTCACCAGTTTCTATTAAGACCTATTATGCCAACACTCGTAGCTTTTCACGAAGTTTCGTTTGATTTATATATTGTTCATAAAACTTTGATATACTTCGTAACTTAGATATTTATAGCACATCAGTATTTTTTAATATTTATCTGCGTGTAAATAATTAACCGAATCTTCGTAAAAAAGTGCCTGAATAGTTCATTATTTCATCTGTTCAGTATCAATTCATCTTTTATTTTCAGGAGGCACAGCACTATTTTTTGCAAAAGTGCACAATATGATTTACATTGCTGTCTAGAAACGGGGTTAGAAACATTAATGTTGGTTTGAGCAAACAATGTATATTTTATTTGAAATTGTGTCAAATTATTACGTTTTTTATATTTTAGCACTAAAATTGTACTTACCAGTGAAAGGAAATGTTTGCATTAGTTAGATTATATACTTTGTTTTGCTTTTTGCAAGTGATAATAGCACAAAACGGTATTTTTTATAGAAAAAATCAGTAAAATCACCACTCGACGATTGACGAACGACTGACAAATATAAAACCGAGGAAAGGGCGTCATATGAGTAAAAGCGCATATGCCAGCGACGCTTGCCCCGCCCACTTACTACTTCTATTCTCTCTCTATGTTCTGTGGTTCCGAGCGATAATTACCTTGATAAATACACCCCGATTATTGTAAAGCACTACACAAACTACTTTAAGACTTGCTATTAAATGGGAATCATCTTTAAACAACTATCAAATTTGCATAGAAATATGTCTATGTTGGACCTAAAAACAAAACAAAAAAAAAAAGAACATCAAAAGCCCCCTTTTTTATTTAAACAAATATTTTTATTTTACTTTTTGTTTGTGATTGTACATCGCTGCGATAAAAGAATGCTAAATTTAATAAATATCTTTTTTTAAGATTAATAACTTTAAACATTTTATTAACAATAAATAGGTTTAAAATAAAAATCATCAAAATATTAATGCTAATATAATATGAATAATTATATAAGAAAAAAAAAATCTTGATAATTATGAACCCTGGTTTCAAGACACATGATACAAGATTAAGATAAAAAGCTAATCATGCGATTTTATGACTCAAAATCAGGATCTCTATGTTAATGCGATGTAAATTTAACTTTTTTGTGCCAATTCGTTACTTTTTACTACCAAAACTACCCTATTATAATGATGCTATCTTATTGTAATTTTTATCGACAGACTATTTTTTCCTTAACTGTTATGTTTTCTATAGATTGTATAGTTTTCTGCCAATCTTATTTGCTATTTTATGTTGCAGACAAATGATGAACGTTTTAAGTTCATGGAAGTGAGCATGCGCGCTTTATTAGAATTACGAAGAGAAGCCGCTAGTGGGACTCTTCCTCAAGATCAAATGAGAAAGGTCGCCAGGACCGCGGTGTTTACTATAGATAAAGGCAATAGGTAAACAACATATTATTTTCTTAATGGAAAATGCTTGAAAAATTCACTTTGCATTCTGAGATGGGGCCATATTTTCCGATATAACATTGTGAATTTAACATTAATCAAATATAACGAAGCATGTAATTTTGTTCATTCCTAAAAAATAGTATTATTTTGAATTAAATAGTCTTCTATGTTTACGCAGATATTGAATTAGGTTTTTGTTATAGAGCTCTCGGCATGGAGTTAGCAGTGAGAACAGCTAACGGACAGTTGGTGGATCCGCTGCAGACTTCGACATATAGACTCAACTCTATGCACGATGAAGCGAATGCTCGCATCGATAAGAACATGGTAAGTATAAATAAAATAAATTAATGTCAAAGATATATATATATGTATATATATCTTAAGGGTAAGATATATATACATATATATATGTATATATATCTTACCCTTTATTTATATACATATATATATATGTATATAAATAAAGGGTAAATGTAGTACGGAATTTTAGCCCCACGTTGGGTGCCATTGAAGACTATCAAAGCTAATGCTTTATAAATAATAAGAGCATGGAAGCATTATATACGCAAATTTGGCGAAAATGGCATTTTACATGTCTGTAATTGATTAAAAATATTGATTTACCTCTCTTAAGATTTTTTCAAAATTTATATTCTAACCTATTTTTCTTTATAGGAAACTACTCCAACGTGTCAATCGACGACAACTCCCCCTACAGCCCGCACATACACTATAGCACTTAGAGTTCACAACTTCGTATGCAGAATGTCTGACTCTGCAGAGCTAATGCCGGCATTATACGACGCCGAGGGGAACAAACTAACCGAACATCTGCTGCTAAGGTGGCCCGCGCATTACTTCACTCCTGCGCAAGTCGTTTTCACGGTTAGATTTTTATTACCATCATCATTATTAGACGTTAAATTTGGCGTCAAATCAATCCATGATCTTGATCAAAATGATGTTAGGTTAATCGCTTAATGTGTTGATTGATACCATATTGAAATGGATCACATTTCATCCAAACAATTTGATTTTTGCCGTCAATCCGCAACTTTTATCTGATCACGATTCAGTTTGATTGTCTAATGGCCGGCTTAGTCTATCGATATCTCCACCTTGCCTTCCACATGAAAATAAAACAAGAAATGGCCCATAACCCACCACGCGAGCCCCAAGTTGATTGCTGGGTGCTAACGAATACAAATGCAGCTGGATCAACGGGTTATCTTTTGTTTCACGTAGAAACGTGAAGTATACATTTATTATTCGCCAATCCCATGACAGGCTTTTGTGAAAGTTGCTTAATCTCCGTGATTGCAATCGTCTTTCTCAATCTTGAAGCAGCTATGAATAAACACAGTTGGGTCATCAGAAGCACAGAACACGGAAAAGAGGTTAGAAAGGCGATCATGCATCCTTTGTACGAAAACCGATGTCGTCAGTCTTGTCCCAATTTTAGTCCGCCGTACATCAGACGAAATAGCAGACCAATTATACAAAACATATGCACACACTTGCATTTTAAACATGCCAATCAGAACGCTCCAATATAACTATAACCAATCACGCTCAACCATAACAGACATCTATAGAGCGCAAAAAACGTGTAAAAGCCATTTTAATTTGACATATCACACTAGTGATTGACATTAAGTTATTTACTATCGATATTGACAAACAACAAGTCGATTAATTGAAAGGATACTAGAGTAATGATTTCTTTATATTATTTTGGATATACATTGAATTGTATTGATTTAATGAGACATTATCTTTTTTCTGTAGATATTAATTCTTAATTAGTTGGCTGATTTAATAAGAAATATTTAAATTACTAATGGACTAACATTGAATCGGTACTAGTCGAGCTTAAATATTTATTTGCATATAAATATGTTTGTTTATTAATAATAATAGTAGGTATTTTTTATACGTTACGTTACTCTATTTCGTATCAAGTAAACAGATAAGATCGGCAACATCGCTTAAATGAAACTACTAATAATGACAAACAATATAATGTAAATAAATATATACAAAATAAAAAAATACTATCAGTACAATAAATGCTATTGGAACTTATCCTGAACGGATTCCGATGATTTAAAAAGTATTGTTGTTAATGGTTCAAAATAGAACTTATTCGCTTAGAGCTTATTCGTCCCTCAAAGGCCGGCAGCGCGCTTGTAGCTCCTCTGGTGTTGCAGGTGTCCGTGGGCGGCGGTGATCACTCGCCATCAGGTGATCCGTCTGTTCAACTGCCCCCTATTCCATAAAAAAAAGAAAAAAATAATAATAAAAAAACTAATTTTCTGTTACAATATAAAGAATATAAAAACAGACTTATAACCACACTCTTTATTAAATTAATATACAATCGCATACCAAACGAAGTCAATATGGTTAATCTCTGATTAAATATATTTTTTATTACCACTATTTTTATCGTCCATACTTTTATTTAGTTTTTACTAACTAACACACCAAGAATCGATTAAATGTTTCCAGGCACTTCACTACCCATACCGTAATCTATGTTGCTATTTAAAACGGTGATTTCGCGATGTTCTTTACATTACGTGCTTAGTACGACGCAATGTAATAAATATGCGCACTTCTCCAGCAATGTATATTTTCTTGGAAATATTTTTTGTGATTCACACTTTTGATAACATTTCACGAATTTCGACTAAAAATACTAAATTTGAGAAGTGTTCTACTTACTAATGGAAAGAAATCCTTCCTTTAGACCTACTTGAGGATGGGCTTCTTGTATTCAATTAATAACTGCGCAAGTCGGCATTTTTAACACTTTTAGTGGCGTGTTTCACAGTACTTACAGCGCGCGCGTTCGTGAATGACTAAACATCGCGATTGCGTGGTGAAGTCACGATCCTGTACATTTGTCTAGGATCGTGGCTACATTGCCACGCCCACAAGGCCCTTCTAACGTCTTTCTGTGTTCTGTGATCAGAAGCCACATTTGACATCTGTCAATCAGAAATCGATAGTGAGGTGTCCCGTTTAAAATATTCGATTATTATAAAGAATCGATATGGTTTTCAAACGAGAATAGAATGCAGTTATTGCGTAAATATAATATTAATTATAATTATCGTAAATATCTATTATTAAATTCACGAGGTTAACTATTAAATTATGTTTCGTTTCGATATTGTAACAAGAAAACCACAAATAACAAATGATACTCATACATCTATGAGTATCATACTCCGTGATTATTCACGGTGCACATCTACATCAGACTGCGTAATGTACATTTAAGAAATTATTTACAAAGCATAATGCAAAAACTTAAGAGCGGACATACAGCCAAAACATTGAACATGGCAAATCCATAGAGACACATTATGTCGAATTGTAAATTTTGAGGATCGTGTTGAAGAGCCGGTTTTAGTCGCTGCTCCCTTTTTGGTCATTTGGCACTTAAGGGTATTTGAACTAAGGCAATATACGTCAAATATATAACGTTACGGGTGAACGGATTCGAAATATTTGATATAGCAAAACCAATGACGTTGACAGCTATGATGTGCCACATAATCTCAAATCACAATCTTAAAATGGCCAAAACTAGATCATCTGCCTTAACTTTGTTATTTTGTTCCATATAGATTTTTTTTAAATGAATAAAAAAAGACATAGATGTCAAATGAAGCCTATTATAATGATGTAACTTAAAAATGTCTTAAAAAATTACAATGCTTAGTCTACTTTATGTCTTTTAATTTACTGTGTAAATATAACTTTTTGTATTTATCATCGTTGTTGTTTTAGGACCTATCGAGTGATGTGAAGAGAGAAAAAGTATTTTTAGTGTGCCATGTAGTTAGAATAGGTCCAATGGACCCACAAAATATCGATCATAGGTGAGTCACACGTAAATCTTTTTATCGGTTGCATAATGTTAAAGTTTCTCAGATACCTAAAATTAAATGGAAAATGGTTAAATGGAATTTTTCGCTTACAACATTAAAACTATCTTATAAATATTAAGATGGTTTGCTTTCTTTTCCAATATTAACCAAATATCATTTATGCTGTCACATAAGGTAACTAATATCGATTACGTTGATTTATGAATGAATGAATAGACGCAGCTCGGTAGCCCAGCCCCCTCCTGCAGGGGGCAGCACTGGAGGTATGCGGCGACCATTTGGAGTAGCGGCTGTCGACATAACGCGGCATCTGTTCAACGACAACCCCGATAAACATGTGCAGGTGCCCTTCTATGCGTGAGTTGAACGTCTTTATTGTAGCTTTGCTCTTTTTGAAGAACAGGTGAAAAAAACGGATGTTTACTGAATACTTTGTCTATACTAATGTTATAAAGAGAAAACTTTTGATTGTTTATTTGTTTGTATCGAATAATAAAAATTCTTTCACCTACGGGATGCTACATCATACGCGAGTGACAAAAGTCGCTGGAAAGCAGCTAGTGTTGTATAAAGTAATGCGACACTATTCATCACCCACCCACCCGGATTTTATTTCATAGTTAAATGTGATCATGTATGTTTGTCTATTTCTTAACTTTCGTAGTTGTGAAAAAGAAAATATGGACGATCTACTCAAAAAAGTTCTCGCCAACCGCGATTTGAAAAATGCTAAGCACTCTCAGGGGCTCTGGGTGTCTTTACAGTTGGTCGAAGGGGATTTAAAACAGGTAAGTATTATTTCTATATAATGATCTCATATACATTCTGGAAAGTAAAGAAATCATTATTTATTATTACAGTGTTTGTATTAGATGTTTTAGCTGAAAAGACTACGTTATAGTTGCATGGATATGCCTTCGATCTTCGGACCACTAATAAAATAAGCATTGTAATTGCAAAATTCACTATAGATATATGTAGTAATATGAAAATGCCTCTATTTTCGTTATTTTCTTTGAGTTTTTATTCAATTAAAGTAAATAGATTAAAGTAAAATTACATGATCTAAAAACGTCATCTATGCAATTTAAATGGTTGCAGATTCGAGAAGAAAATCCACATTTAGTGGTTGGTAACACGGCGGTAGCTCGCAAGATGGGTTTTCCCGAAGTGATCTTGCCGGGAGACGCACGCAATGACTTGTATGTGACTTTGGTCAGTGGTTCATTTTCAAAAGGAGGGGGTAAATCTTCAGAGAGGAATATTGAACTTGCAGTGAGGGTAGTCGATAAACACGGAAAGACTCTACCTGTGAGTATAATGTAACCGTAATATTATAAGATGTCAAAAAATTAAACCCGAACAAATAATATATAAGATAAAATAGGTCCTACTTATTTGTTTTTAATTTTGAAGCTATAAGATAAACAAAAATACAAAATTAAATGTCGAGATTATTCAGATTTGCGGATAGTTTTACATATGATAGATAATTAACCGTCCTCAGTCGGTAATACGAGTGAAAGATTTGGCATAATATTAGCTTTTATAGACCATATTGTTTTATTTACAGGGTGTAATATCGCTTGGAGCAGGCGTGCCACTGGCTAATGAATACACTTCTATAGTTTATTACCATGACGATCGACCTAGATGGCAGGAAGTTTTTAAGGTGAATAAAACATTAATTTAACATTAATAAATACATTAACAGTTATTCCAACCTTGATTATTTTAGTTTAGTTAATATTGAAGTATAGTGATTAAGTCAATAAGTTGATCCAATTTAATTGTGTCATATCAATATTAAGGTTACCCATCCATAATACATACTCAAATGTTTCGTGAATAAGGCATATAATGAAAAAAGTTTTTGCTTACAAATATCCATGCTTTACAAATGATTCTTTGAACTTTTTAAGTCTTAATTTTTGAATTACTTTATTGTATTTTCATAAATAAATTGGTAAATTTACACAGGTTTGCTTGAACATCGAAGAGTTTAAAGAAGCCCATCTAGTGTTCTTATGTAGACACAGAAGTTCTAACGAAGCAAAAGATAGAACAGAGAAACATTTTGCATTGTCTTATTTAAGACTTATGCAAAGGGAGGGAACCACTACTCCAGACACTAATCACAATTTATGTGTATATAAGGTAAGTGTGATATTAACTTTTAATGAATGAATGAATTAATTAAATGGCGAATGTTACTCGAACTAAATCAATGTCAATAGTTTGCTAGGGGAAATGCTTAATATTTAGTTTATCTGTTCATTTTTATCTTACTAAAGTTTGTTCTAGGCAGAACCTGGTCAAATATGAAATTTTATTTTAGTATTGTTTTTATAGTAACTTTATTTTAAGTTCTTGTATTAATGATTATTTTTTATATAGATCTATAACAATTTTTTATGTTTTTTTTCCTATAGACACAAAGCTTGTGAAAAAAATGTGCAAGTTTTGTAAAGCTTAATATTTCAGTATGTTGAAGTACTAAGGTGAGGTTCTAGCGTCAGACCTACGCACTGGATACTGAATGATGTGTATCCTTAGTACTTCAACCTAATAAACATTAAGCTTCAGAAAATGTTACACACTTCTTTTTCACGCACGACTTTTAGAATATCATGGGTGGGTATGTTATGTTATGTGGTATGTCGATAGATAGACGCGAAACGTTGTACCACTACGGACGTGGAGGCGGAGGCGGCGTCTCTTTGTCTCGGATTACCTTCACGACGTGACGAGTTGCCCGCGGGTGCTGAACGTGGATTGACACGTGGTGCTTTGTCACTCGTACACAAGGACACTCTCCTCGTACACACCAAGCTCTGCTCTACCAAGCTCACGCAGAGAGGTAGCAACTATCCGTTTCACATACGATGGGTACGGTGACGTTCGTTAACAAATCCATTTCACGCAATTTATATTTCTAATGTTATTAAAAACTATCATTATAAAAGATAGTTTTATTGCGTGTTCAATATTTATTTAAATTTATATATTAAAAATGCAAATGAATTTCAAATATCCATAATTACTGATATGTTGAAATTGAAATGTAAACTGGAACGTTTTTTATAGGAATTGAATTAATAAAATTGTTTAAATCATTTGATAAGTTTTTAATTTTTGTTACTATAAAAACTAAATTTATCTCTAATAAAATTTAAAATAACATTGTTTTAGTGACAGCTTATTATATTATCATATTTGTAGTTAGCAAATAAATAGCAACACTTAATAAAACACAAACGAACGATTTTGTATCTATAAATAAGAGCGCGAAATTAAAATAGAAAATATAATAGACTCTCAAGTAACTTAAGTAATTAAGGTGAAGAGTCAAGTAGTTTCCTGACTCTGGTTCATCTTCTTGACGAAAAAATATATTTATTATATCCTGTTTCTTACATTGACCTCAAAATCGATTATCGAATTTTTGCATCTCTAAAAGCTTCAAATCTCAAACGTCATCGTACCCATGTTATGTGAACAAGACTACCCTCCATCCAATAAATCTTTACTTATACCCACAGCAGATACAGATAGACGGATTTTGTGCTCAAATGAATTTCGAACGAAATTTCGTGTCCGTAGAAATATAATGGATAAAATATATAATAGGCCTTAAGTTGTCATGTAAGTTGCTTACACAAGCCATTAGTATTACCAGGTTTTTGTCGAAGATAAAATATTTTGCAGCGTAATCATAAAAACTTATCGTTGAATCTTATTAAGCACACGTAGCTCTCTTATTTTGCTCTCAACAGCAAACTTTTCATAATATTCTTCATCAATTCTTAATCTTTTTTCTCAGAGGAAATTCTTGGTGTTCTAAAGTGGAGTACACATCACGCAGAAGGTACATTGCGTACTGCACTCACAAGATTGTTACAGGTTCCTAGCGAAGAATTAGTCAAGTTTTTACAAGATATATTGGACGCTCTCTTCAATATACTTACCCAGGTATATTTACTATTTTATCATTTTCATTTCACGTTTAGGTGTTATTAATTAAAATATTAATAGAAGACAGTTTAAAAATTCAAATTCCAATGCCAATGGAATACGGGTCAAGAAAAATCACAGAATCTGTAAAGAAGCAGGCAATCTTATCCAGTTTCGGTTTCGGATTTCAGACTTTGATCAGGACTCTTGATATTTTCTAAGAATTGAAATCATTAACAATGATATATGCTATTATCATAGATAAAATCACATAAATCAATGAAATTTAGTTATTAATTCTACGAAACCAATTTTACAGAGATAGTGTTGCTATCTAAACAGGCTATTCTTATTTTTTTAAACTAAAAGAACCTTTTCTTCTTAGGTCGAAGAAGATCAGCCATCATACAGCGATAAGAGTTATGGCGTTTTAGTTTTGGAATGTCTATTGCGCGTAATTTCTTTAGTGGCTGACCACAAGTATCAACATTTCCAACCTGTTCTTCATGTGTATATCGACGAGAGCTTCTACGACGCGCTCGCTTACGAGTATGTTTTAGTTATGATTGACCGATTTTTGTTTATTGAAGCATGCTATTAGGGTCGGTGGATATCTGACAAATGGTCCGTTCAGATGTGCACCGACCCTTGAGTTCAAAACAAATAAAATTTGGAGTAAATTTGAATAATCTAGGTTATATGTTACTCGTTTTCCGCCAGCGGCTTCGCCTCAGTGTTTCTGTATTATACATATAACCTTCCTCTTGAAAACTCTTTATATTGATGAAAACATTAAATACTGTTGTGTAGTTTAAAAGCTTTCAGCCTACAGACGGCGAGAAGCGACTTTGTTTTATACTATGTATATATGAAGTACAAGAAATAGACCTTATTACATTGTTAGAGTCGAATATGTTAAGTTTTTTTATGAAAACAAAAACATGCAATTATTATTATTTTCTACAGGAACTTAATATCGGTTATAGTTTGGGTGATAAAGATGGCCGACAGTGATGAAACGGCTCTGAAAAGATTGCTAGTGTGTATGAAGTGTGTGGAGAGTCTAATCAGGATCATCGTGAGGAGTAGGCAGCTGAGGAGTGCTCTAGGAGACAGCACCGCTGATGCTGACTTCTGGAAGAGATTCGAGGTCACATTTTATTAGCTTCTTATTAAATGAATTTACTAAATGTTCATAAATCGATAGACATCAATGTTTTAATAGATGATTTATTTTCATCGATAAAATTATCCAAATAGTTGTAATAATATATAAGTCCTTAACTTATAACATAGTATTATTAATGTTCTTAAATAAGGCCAGCGGCACGAAATAGAAAACGTAAACAGTCGGGGGATCAAAATGTTTTTATTTGGAGGAAGTTTCAATTTTTTTTATTCGGCTTGGGTTTTTGAGACAGTCCCTCTGTACTTTTACCTTTTAACATTTACATGAAAACATTCTACTGTATAATATAACATCCATAACTTTCTAAATTATTCTAAACAGATTTTGGCAAAAAAATTTCATAAAAAAAATAGAATTTTTTATTATTTTTAGAGCCTACTAGAGGCGGTTGTATGGCTGATGCGTAGGGAAGAACATGCTCTGACGTGTCAGGGGTCGGCGCTAAAGTTTTTACCGGCTGCTGTACCACACGCTCTCAAAGTTTGCCCTCCAGCTGAACTTAGGTAATGTAAAATTATTAAATTAGCAAAAAACTTCTTTAAATAATAATAGTAAATATGCGTCTGTTTCAAACATGGGTTAAATAAGTATATTTTATTATGATCATTATGAGTAGCTCGGTGACGTAGAGGATAAGCGCCGCGGCCCGTGATCGTTGTTGTTAAGCAACTTTCGCAAGGGTCAGTCACGGGATGGGTGACCATAAAAAAATAAGATATTATCTCGAGCTACTCCGTGCTTCGGAAAGCACGTTAAGCCGTTGGTCCCGGCTGCATTTGCAGTCGTTAATTGTCTCAAACCCGCATTTGGCCAGCGTGGAGGGTCATGGCCCATCCTCCTTAACCATCTATAAGGAAGGCCTGAACCCCTACAGTGGACGTAAAAGGGCTGATGATGATGTTCATTATCGCTTTAGAACAAGTATGTGAATATTTTCAACATTATTTTGTTATCGTCGGGAAAATAATTATTAAAAAGTAAAGGCGGTATTCAAAGGCAATCCTAATACATATCTCAGAACATATGATTAAAATGTACACCTATAGGTATGTCGTTGGTGCAAAAAGTTAGCAAATAAAACAAAAGATTATAATTTTAATGTTGTTTAGGCTTTTATTTATATTTTAAAATATGTGAATATCCCCATTGTTACATAAAGGGTAACATGTAACTTACAGCGAGTTGTTTCAATAATATAAAAATAACAAATTCGTTAAAATTTTAGTTCGCCTTTAGGATTAGTTTCCCTTTTAGTCTTATTGAGTTTTTTACATATTTAACTTGGATTCTATTATCTTATTCATAATTAATTTTCAGCGATTTATTTTAGTGTCTTCTTAACATGCGTTGATTCTAAGGCAGTATGGAGTTATATAGTAAAGTTATTAAAACAATACGGTCATATATGTCGCAGCGCGTATCTAGTCCGTGCGTTGGACGCGCTACCGATGGGCCGGCTCAGCAAGCAGCGTATGCTGGCGCTGCTAGAGCTAGTACGCGGCCCGCTGTGTGCCGCGCCCGCCGCCCGCGCGTTATTACTGCCCCATCTAGCGCATACGGTGCGCGCTCTGCTCAGAGATAAGGCAGAGGTCAGTATAGAAACACCAGGATATGCGAGCGCTCGTACATGCTAGCATTTGTGTTGGTTAACACGGTATGCAAATGTCTACGTTATAAAAATGCTGTAAATGGTAACTTATATGTTAACAATAGATATGTTTTATTTTTATTTTAGAATTGAATTCGAATTAAAATGTAAATATATTTAATCTTTGCAAGAGAATTCTGAAGAGTCCGAAACAGGTGAAAATCTGAAGGTGCAAGGTCAGGTCTATACGGCGAATACTTTAACATTTCCAGGCGAACTCTCTTAATTTTTGTTGATTGTAAAAAGATGTGTGAGGTTATGCTAGCGTTATCATGATGAAAAACCACACCCCTTCTATTGATTAATTCTGGTCGCTTTCTCTCAACTTCTTGCTTTAATCTCATCAGTTATTCGCAGAATAGTTCAGAAGGTATGGCTCTGCTTGGCGGTAACAGACATCACCTTGTTGCGAGTTAACACTGGTTTAGCCACATTCTGTGAACTGACAGACCTTATTTACCACGACCTTATTCGCACGTTTCTGTCGTTCGTACTTTTCATCACCAGTTATCAGCTTCTTCAAATAAAGTTCGGTTTCATTACGCCGTAATAAAGAATAACAAATGAGTCATAACGTTTTTCAGTGAGCCCAATTATTCAACTATTAAATCTAAATATTTTATCAGTAAAGTTCAATTATAGTTTACACTTCTCAATACATTTTAATTCAGTTATCAGTGGATTACACTAAATGGTTTAATGCAATTTTTCCAATACTCTCATTTTTGATTGATTTTATTGAGATTGCATTGAGTACTGTCCTAATTTTTGGCATACCGTGGTCGACCGATGACATTACATGTGTGCATGTGCGACGGGCTTTACAATTTTTTTATCTACATAACATTTCAATCCTAAGTACATATATAACCTATTTGTAGTTCCGGTAATTGACGGTAGCTTCTAAAATATAAAAGTGTTGCTAATATTACAGAGTTTATTGATCTAGTTGTTGAGAAATAATCAGGAAAATAAAACTATCTGTTTAATTTATTCATAACATAAAAGACGAGTCCCAGTTGAGTAGGGATGTTGACTGTTTTTTTATCTGTCCGTAAATTAGATTATCGAAGAATATTAAGCACGTATTTTTTTTTTCATAACAATACATTACGTAGATACATTGAGTTGAAATGTCGCACGACGTCACATCTATGGATATTTTCTACATATGTAGTTGTAAAGAAACTTAAGTAAGCAATCCCGATTCTCAAATTAAAAAATGAAGCATAAGAATACGGAACTAATATTTTTCCATTATCTAATTGACGGACTAAGTAGAATTTCTTTTCTTTTTTACCCAGGCATCATCCCTATTTTAGTCATGCCCAATAATTTAATTAATTATTCTACGCAATGTCATCAAATGCAGCTGCATACAATTTTGTCATTAACGTCATTTAAAAATTTTGATTTTTATCGCGTGATGTTGTTGTGTTATGAAGATTACAAATAGAAACAGTCTTTAATATGTATTTAACTGTTATTCTATTTATAATTTTCACTATTTATTATAAATACCCCGTTAAATAGATAACAATGTTTGTGATAATTACGAAGGTGATTATATGGTTTTATTTGTAAATGATACTTTTGTCTATGAATATTTACAAGTAAAAGAGGTTTTAGTACACGTGCATCAGTTTATGTGTCCGTCCCTTACCACGTTGTTATGGTATGTTCGCACACCGCACTCCCTAAGCAATGGTATGTATCATGATAACTTATGAGTAGTGCGAACTTTTGACAAGACTGTTGCAAGTATGTAAATACTGATGGTGTTTTTAAAGAAAAGAGAAACACAATCCATCCATTCTGACATTTGTAATGAAACTCACTTACCTCAACTTTAACAATTATGTATGATCCAACACGAGCTATTTTTACACAATGTCTACACCGGGGATTTAAATTTATATCTTTTAATATTGGTATATAATAATCAGAAGTATTTGGTTAATTTACTTGTAGAATTAAACAATACTTTTTTTATTGAGTACTTAGAATTAAACTTATTAACATGAACTTTGTCACCAACCTACTAACAAAAGCATTAAAGTAGACAATAATAAAATTTTTCATTGAAATAACGTAAATATGATCGCATATAGTGAACGACTTAGTTAACTTGGGTATTCTAACGGAACAGTGATTAAGTCCATTTATTTATCCGTAGTTTATCAATATAAAACACAAAATAAGTTTTATATATCAATACAGATTGATATGAATACTTTTTCAGAACATTATTTATCTTTGTCTTTGACAAATAACATGAGATAAAAATATAATTGATTGATACGTTCATGTTCTTCTATGTTTCCGTCAGTGATTTTTATGCTTTGCTAAAATACAATGTGTCATTATGGTGGTTTCAAGTTCAATTTTAAGTAAAGTAACCTTGTCAAAAGTTCAACCAAACAAACGTAGCAGTCCAAATGTTTGTTCATGTCGGCAGACGAGTATTCAGGTAAGCACAGCACGCGGATGCATGTAGCTTGTATGGCACATAACTAATTTGTGTTTGATACATGTGCTTTTTTTCTGTTAAGTTTATTAACAGAAAGTAAAACTATAATAATAACGTCCTATTAAGAGCACTGCATGCTTCGAAGTAATCGTAAAGTAATAGTTCGTAGTAACTAGTCCTGTGAACATTATTCTGCAATCTATGCTGAGTGCATAAACGATATCCAAAATGTACAATTTGCGTAAAAAGTATATTATGCCTTTAATTATTTGCTATTAAATTTGTGATACATTCATTAGTGAATCGTTTAGGACGTTTATTAATAGTTTCTTTAAATTGTAATTTTAATTCAATTTTATAGTTATTTAAATGAGTAAATAGTTAAGTTTATGAATTATATGTGTTGAAAGTATGTGAGAGATATATGTACACGTGGTTCATTTAACAAAATTTTAGTAGGACGAAATGAATATTAGTTTGAAAAGAATAGATATAACTATCATATCAACTTCATCTTAAAAGGTCATCAGATTTCTCTTTAAAATCAAACATTCGAACTTTCATTTATTAAAACGGATCATACGCATATATCTCACATTTTTAACTATTAATACCTAGTTTACTAACTTTTTAACATCTTTGGGCTATTGTTAGAACTAATAATATTTATATTGTTAATACAAAAACAATATTTTTGTTCCGCTTCTAACGAGTCCCATTTTATAAGTCACGGTAACACCATTTCTTAAGCGATATACGCATCTAGTAATATCAAAGTTTAATATGTCTCAATTCAACATATACATCGATAACAATAAAATAAACTGTTACTTTAAGTAGAGTCGTAGGCTGGATTAAAATGCTTTGAAGAGAGCAAATTTGTGATTTTCAATTTTGAACCTAAATATCAATTTAATATGTTAGTTTATCCTTTAGACATCGTTTTGATGTCTTGAATTTTTCTTTCGCTCATTTTAATCCAGTACACGAACAAAACAGTCTCCCACGTCGCACCAGCATCGTGAGATATGCACACAAAATCGTTCTAACTTCATTTCACTGATAATTTACCTCTGTCTAAAATAAAAACAACATTATTTATAAAATAACCATTTATTGTCCCTGAAAATTATCAATAGGGGTGTAGACAACTTTTTATATTTTTATTTTATAGATATTACATTAAATATACCTAAAAATAATATTATTCATATAACGAGTTAAAATCAAAAAATTAATTTAATATTCAAAATTTCCCTTGAAAAAGCTACTTCTATCATGGCGTCGCTATGACGTCACATTCTAGCATAAAATATTTGTTTTTCAAAATTAGTATAAGAAATATTATAAATATAATGAGCATATAAGCGTGATTATCGGTAACAGGGGAGGCCGGGTTAAAAGTTCCGATTTACAAATAACATGGAATTATATGACGAAAATTATAAGATTTATTTTTGGTACTTGAATCTATTATAGAAATCTTGATCGGTCTCTGTAATAGTATAGTGATTTCTGCCAGTACCTGAATAGTTTTTTTTACAGGCATATTATTGCAAAATTTCGGAAGGGAACATTCAACCCCGTGTTGGGGCGAGTTGTTCCACGTGTGGGGCAAATTGTGCCGCTTGGATAATGGAAATAAAATTGGTTTGTTTTAAATATAACAGTCATTTTTAAAGTCACATTAAGTATGTATTAATGTAATGCTATAAACTACAAATAAAACAACAATAAAACATGACTAGTAACATCTGGATTAACATGTTGCACCGGTTAACTCAAATTGAGACCTATTAGTTTATAAATCTCATTACTTATATGTTTAATTATAATTAAGGATACAACAATTCTAACTGGAAAGGATCATCGAGATAAAACTTTTTTAAAACTAAAAAATATTGGCACTCTCATAACATAACTTAAAAAAAACAAAAAGCATTCAGATAAATGTTTACTTTAAACTTGAATATAAATTCATCAAGTTAAAAATCTTATCAAATCTATAACTGCACTTATTTTAACTAAATAATACAACTGGTAACCTCCAGACTAACGTTTCATTATTAAGTGTAATGACAAGTGATATCACAACTTCAGTTCTGATCAAATAACAAAACTGAACTTGTAACATCCATATTATTTTCATTTAGTAATGTAATCGATGTAATATTAAATAAAAATCATTTTAATCCAGGCGATAAAATTATATTTATTTTAGTAGAATTACAATGAAGATAAATCATCGGTCTTGTTTTAAACATAATTAACGTTGGCATCTTTTATTCTTATTAATCATTAAATTCTTCATCTGACTCACAATTGGGACACACATAAGTTATATCAGCTTTATTTATATACTTATCTACTTTTCTAGCCTATGGTAGGATCGTTACCAGCTCAATTTTTTTAACAAATCGATCTAATGTCATGTGGCAAATTTCTAGTTCTCTGGCGACCGTTTTAAATTTTCTTACATCTTTTATGACAGCTTAGTGCAGTAAAGATTTGGAGGTTTTCCCTCTCTCAATTTTCGTTTATAGGTACGTACCATCCTAAAAAAAATAGAAAAAGTGTCTTAAAAATATGATGAATTTGTAGGTCATTTGGGGTGAGTTGTTCCGGAGAACAACCAGCCCCTTTAGGAGGGAACTTGTAGCCCCAATATAAGTTTTAGTATAAAATTGTCATACTAGCAAATTAACGAAATCAATTTAAAAACATTCAGTCACTAAGATATCTAACTAATGCTACTCTCAATAATAAATAAAAACAGACCAAAAAGATTATATACAAAAAAAAATTACTCCCGTGGGGTTCTAATAACAAAGTACACACAGCCGTTCATCTGCCGTTGTCAGAGCCAATAAGATGGTTGCCAGAGCAGCGCGTCATCTGATGCTTAAAAGACTTCACTTTCCTTTAAAAAGTTATAACGGAACAACTTACCCCGGGAACTTTCAGCCCGGCCTCCCGTTTTCGTTTACTGTCTACACCCGTATTTATCATTATTTATTATTTACTAACTATCACTTTTATGTGTGTTTGTGTGTGTGTGTGTTAGTGTATTAGCATGTAGTGTGTTTTTCGTTACACGACATTTTTGGGGCCATCATAATAATGGAATTAATTGGGATATTTGTGAAATAATTAGAACAATTAGAATTTCGTGTTTTTATTAACGACCAACCAAGGAGTTAAGTCATTTCCGAGGGTTCGATTTTATTTCGGGTTTGCCTCTAGGGTGGGTTGTATGTAGAGAGTGTCTTTATTTTTGATTTCCATTAAACTTATTTAGGGATATAGCGACATCTGATATTTCGAAAATTCTATACATATATGAATGAGCTCTTTAGATCTACATAATGCGGGTCCGTGTCTACTTTATATCATTTCCAGCTTATTAAGACTGATTTTAAGATAACGTTTAGATCGAATGAAAACAAAGGTTTTCTCGTACTAGATAAAAAAAAAGATGTGGTTATAAAAGATGGCTTGTAGTTAATTATTTGTATGTCTGTGTGTTCAGTGTTATTAATAACATTTTGTATTGTCCTTACACTATAATATTTGCCTTTTCTTCTTTTTATTTGAAAATATTTTCTTTTTGTATGTATATTATAATATTAACAATTACATTATTAATATAATTTAGAATATTTTATTCTTCTATTTCTTCTTCATATAGAAAATAACTTTTGATAACATAAATTCTCTTATAACATACAAACATAACATTGCAACATATTTTCGATGTTTTCTTTAATAAATAGTTTCAGTAATTTTATAAGCAAGCGAGCACTAGTTGTCGCTTGAGAACTAAATTGTGTGCAAACTCTTGATGTGTTGCATGCAGTGCGCACGTTAACTGACAGCTGTCAGCTTGATGCTGTCAAGTTGACAGGTATCATTTGGCGTGCCACGATAGACCATTCGTTAGTTCTGTAAACTTTAATAAAAGTTTGTTCTATTTTGAATCATCTATTTTGAAATATTTCAAGTATTCATTCAAATTATCTATGATATGCATTCTGATTTTCTTTTCTGATTTATAAATATAGATCTAGTTTTGAAAGACAATAACCTTGTATCATCAGAAATGATTCGAACATAGTTATGTAATTTTTTATATTTACTCATAAAACGAATGGTCTCTCGTATGCAATCGATGTATGCTTATGACGGATGCCTGTAAATGCAGTATCATTACGATAGATAATTATGTAAGTATCTTTAAATATTGTTGATTTAAATATATGTATATATATATGGGTTCCTTTTTTCATTCAAACCTGTCGTAAAGGTATTGTTGTTTGATATTTCGCTGTATATGTGATGCGTATGCCGGTTTTATAATGGTTCTGGTATCTAACTGACATGATCACAGTGATTGAACTCGGTTATTCTACTCTTGTGAACATGGAACGTATCCGAATTTAAAGTATCCGAAACGTCTTAAAATTTGATCATCAACCTATTAACAGTAGATCGAAATTAATAGTAAATTTCGTAAAAAAATTGACCACATTTTAGTTATTGAGTATCACTATTTAGAGGTTACTGGTCTAGACAAACACGCGAATTATCGGTTACCGGTAATACGCATCGCACATGTGCAACGAACACGTACAACGAAACACGGGCGTCTGTCGCAAGCTTGTAGAGTGTGCGTTCAGTGGGATCGCGATGCGGCACACAAGTCGCGCTCGGTGGACAAAGCGGCGCGCCTGTTGGGAGCTGACTCTTCGAGGCTACAAGACGGCACCAAAGGCCGACAGATCGTACGTACCTATAAATACATACACAAGAGGAACACGTACACAAATAGTAAGTTTCAATCCAGGGACTATTCATGTCGATTCCCGCCATCTCACAAGTAAGATTTTGGTATTAAATTCAATATATCGCTCTTAGCGGTAACTATTACGATTATTATGAGCTCGATATTGGATTTCTTGAACTCATACCCTACCCTACACATATTCTTCGTTCTATTTGATTTACAGTACATCCGAATACTGATGATAATAGCATACATAAAATTCTACATATATTTTTTTAAATTAATTAAACTTTTTCTACTGATCTAGCAAATTATATATTTTGTTATACTAACATGATAACGTTTCTCATCTGGTAGTGTCAGTTACATTGTATTTTATCTATGTGCTTGTATCAGCCACTAGTTAATTGTACGGCTAGAAAAGCGCGACAGTCAATCAAAGGACTGTCCATACACGTAAACTCCCGTTTTAACCAGTTGGCTGCGCGTATTTTAATTATAAGTATAACTCATACAAATTAACATGACACTTGAGGGCCTATTGTATTTGCTCTCAAACGTATAGTGTAAAATCTTTCTTCTGTTGCATTATAAATTATCGAAAAATGCATATCTTTGAAGTCGTTACCATTTTGAAAAGACGAAATTTTGTTTTTGAAGAAATAGAAAAGGCCTAGTGCCTTTTTGATTCGTACGAATAGTGTTATATAGGTCAAATTTTATCACTACTTTCGCTTACAGCTCAGATGAAACTGATTTCTTGTAACCGTCCTTTTCATGTTTTTATTATCTGTATATTATATTTGCTGCTTTTAACATAAGCCATTTAGTAGCGATGGATATTTGCTAATAATTCAGTAACTCATGTTAATTTCAAAAGTTAATTAATCATTTTAAACTCTCCTGTATAAGTAAGGTCACTATTTGACATGATATGTACATTGTCGACAGTGTAAACATTTTTATACGTGACTGTACTAGTTCTCATAAATTATTATTTTTATTCAAATATTATTATTTTATTTTATATCGTATAGCTTTCTCTTTATGATTTTTTATGGTTTCATTTTCACCAGAAAACTAATTCAATTCCCTTTTTTTACTGCAGTCATTTAGAAGCTTGTAAGGTCAGTACATTAGTAACATATGTTTTTCATTATAACCATACATTGTCATCTCGGTAAAGGGTTTAAATAATTAATAAATAAATAATTAATAAAGATGAATATTCTCGTCACTATGAAAGATTTTCAAGTTAATTTGACTTCACTTTCATACCCTTAGTTCTGAATAGTATGGAGTACGGGTTTCTTACTGGCCTGCCATTTTTATTTTTTATTCGAAATAGTGGCTTGTTTACAAACTTTATCACAATATAATGGAATATTTTAAATTAAGTTATAAAACAAATAAAAATCAGTAAGGTACTAAAAATATTTCCTGAGTCTTCATAAATTTATAAAAGTACATGTTTCTGGGAATTTAAAACTTGCAAGTTCTTTTGCACTGTTACTAGAATTCCAGTTTGTTTAGTGCAATTTTATATAAACATATAAGTGAAGGTGTGAACTCCGTGACATATGATTTGAAAGTTTTTAGCCAAAATATTCGAAATCTTTTGTAAAACATAACAATAAACATAACAAAGACAGCCTTACCAAGTTAAAATAACCCATTATTTAGGTGGAACTATGTGTCGAAACACTTGGCGAAGTGATGACGTTATTGGCCCGCGATGATGTTGGACCCGTGGAAGCTGACAGGGGTGAGTTGGCGAAGCGTCTACTGCCAACATTTTTCAATACTGCCGCCACCATGTTGAAGGAGAAGAAGACGAGTGATAACACAGCCGATGACCCATTATTGGTTTGTAAAGCCTTATTTTGTATACAATAACGTTGCTTTTTGTTTGTAATTTGAAAAAAATAGACATAATTTTTTATACAATCTATTCTGTCAAAAACTTATTATTTTATATAACATATTTCTGTCTTGCAAGTCCAGCAAGCAAGATTCGAATAATATTGGAGTAATTGCGAGTTATGCGAATTTTAATCCAAAATGTATTTTTTTTTTCACTTCAGAGGCGCGTAGTCTGCGTACTTCTGGACATGGTTCGTCAGTTGTCGGACGAACAGTATAGCATAGTGGTAAAAGCTTTAGAAGCTGAAAGTGCTGGAGGGTCGCGCTCATTGCTTTCTGATGCACTACATCTGATGACGGCTCTTCTACAGCGGCCGGTGTTCAGAGCACACTGGGCTGACATCCTCCATTTGCAACATTATGTTATGCTTCATGCTCTCAGGTTAGTTACAACGACGTGAATAGAACAGAATTATCAGGAAGTGACTTGAGTGTAATAAAGTAAGTTAATAGTGCAAGTGAAAAACCTATTAGAAAAGTAAAATAAAACATCACCTTTTATGGCGGACGGAAAGCGATCCTTAGTAATGGGGTCTCGTTTTACCCTTTAGGTACGGAACCCTGATAGAGAGAATATGAAACAAAGACTAAACGTGTTAGTTAGAAAAGAAGTCCAAGTAGGACAAAGTGAAAGAAATCGTCTGAATAAAAGAAATGAATTTGGGCTCGCAAAATCTCACAGTGCTATTATTAAATTTATGCTGAAATTGCAATTTTAGTATTAGTCCAAATTCACATTATACAGAGAATAACCAAACCTACCTCATCTTGGAGTAAATATTACTCCCGTAAAACCTCAGACTACGTCGAACTTTGCTAGATGTCTGTTTATATGAATTTTGACTAATACTAAGTGCAGTCTCAGCGTAAATTTACTGCAACGCTAAACCTTGTTAATATAAATAAACATATTGATCCAGCTTTACATTTAGATAAAATGATGATAAGTACCTACAGCCCACAAAATATTACAGATTACTATCCACAACGCTGCGCGATCGCTTAGCGAACGTAGACGAAACTGACACAGACGCTATAACAGCCATACACACGATGTGGAGGGACTGGTTCACAGCGGTGGCTACACTAGCGACGTCTACTGTTCTGCAACTGGATACTTTACCGCCGGGGAGGAAGCAACGTGTGTTGGGCTTGTACGGGGACCTTAGGAGGTCTGCTGCAACACTACTGGGCGAAATGTGGTTTGGTTTAGGTGAGTTAAAATAAAGTAATCAACTGATTTTGGATACAACGTCTGTTTCCTATTAAACAAAAATATGAAAAAACGTCAGCGCGGTAGGGAGAAATGATACTAACTTCCAGGTTATAGATCTCTATTTAACTAACTAAATCTTCAACTTATATACTACTTAATCTAAAATACATATTGCTTGCTGACAAGGGAGGTAATTGTTGATCACGTATACAACGTGATAATATTTGCACACTACACCGCCCCTGAAAAGACCTTTCTTATTTTAAAGCTACTATTACACAACCGATCACGTATCACTATAATTTACATAATTAATAGGAACACACATTTAATGTTTACATTTTACAATTAATTTTAAAACTTAATACAGCTCACTTCTTGAAAATTCTATCGCAAAAATACACATTAATCTACCATATTCTTGTATAACATAACTCACTATAGTGCATACATAATATAATATAACAAAGTACTGCATACTATAAATGAAAAGTCAACTATTAGATGTTCAGACGGACTGAATAATAGTTGTATTAGTATAACATTAATTGCTTAAAATTTTAGATATTTAAAAGATGCTATACAAGCAGCTTTAAATAAGAACTAGCCTTCGCTTGGTTGCCCCGGGCTGCGAGCAGCCCGGGGAGGTAACGAGTAGCTGGTGGAATCGGAACGGTGGGGTTTCAAGTCCGCCTTCGTTGTGAAATTTGTGTTTTTCGATTTTTATTTGTTAAGTTTGTTTTCTAGTTTGAAATTGCCTACAAAAAGTTAGTAAGGTCTATCTTCAAATGAAAGGTGTTTAGGCACCATACATTAAAGAAAAAGGGTTACCAGTATATACTTAATAAAAAAAGAAATATTCAGTTGAAAAACGCAAGCACAATTAAAAAATAAATTTCCTATAGATCGCCTTGTAGTCTTTTATTCTTATTCAATAATAAATTCCTACAAATGACGGTATCAAAAAAAATTTTTTTTCCATCTGGCAACACTTCAGTTGATGATAATTTTTTGGAAGTAATCTGAAAAATGTTTTCATATGCGCCAAAATTAACTGTATAAAGTGAAAATTGTAAAAGAATATCATTTTTCTAGATAAAATGTTTACTGCTTAAGCCGCCATCACTACACACCTATTGGCGCATCCAACGCAGTTTTTGTTATTTTCCTAGCGGCGATAGTGACTGAGCTAGAGTCCAAAACGTGAATAGTGGGCATTAAATCTTCAACTCGCTGTAGCTGCCGGGGTTGCCAGGTGTAAGCGATAAAAATAGTCAAATGTGATTTCAGGATGTGCCCTCCATCGACGGATGCCAATTTTCAAGTTCTAAAAGTAATCCTTTGACAGTTATAGTTTTTTGGGTAAATCTCAAAAACTACCCTAAAATCGGGTAATTTTTTTCCACCATATGAAAGATTCTATAGAGATACACAATCGCTCCATACATGCCGAATACCTGCGGGGTTGCCAAGTCGGTCAAAATCGAGGTTGAATTTCAAACGTTGTTTGCTCTCAGTGTTGCCAGTCGATCGTTCTATTTTTTCCATCGGGTAACTTGAAAAGTTAAAATTAAAATATTTGCATCGAAAAAATTCAAAATTCGACAAAAAGTGTTTCCCCAAAAATCTCATAAAGTATCAAAAATTTTCAAGATTTTTTTTCACCTGGCAATACCTCAGCTACTTGCCTAAAAATTGTTTCCCCGGAAGTAGTCTGACAAATGTCGCCAAGTGCGTCAAAATCGGCTCGACGTGGTGACGATACCCAATTTTTCGGATAAAATGGATGCTGGTTTGGCCGCCATCTTGAATTTTGAAAATCCGGCTCCGTACCGGTGTGGCCAACTCGATAGCGCATCTGATGCAGTTTTAACCATTTTCCTAGTGGCAATACTGACCGCGCTAGAGTCGACAAAGTAAAAAATGGGCAAAATTTTTCAAATCACCGCTCTTACCAGGGTTGCCAGGTGACGACGATGAAAATGTCCAAATGTCATTTCGGGGAGTGCCCTCCGTCGAGGATATTCATTTTTGAAATTCCCAAACGGCTCCTTCTACTTTTCACCTTTTTGGGGTAAATCTCCGAAATTACCCTAAAATCGGGGAAAAATTTCACGTCATTCGAAAGAGCCAGCGGAGACTCACGACCAGTCCATACCAGGCGAAGAGCTACAATGTTGCCATGTAGGCTAAAAGTGCGTTTGAATTTTTCGAAAAAGTGAAAAAATCACAAAATGGCCGCTGCCGGCGCCGCCATATTGATTTTCCCGAGTTTCATAATTTTCCCATAGTCACAACTATATTTGGCGCGACACCTCATTCACAGATTTTCTCCACTGGCCACCCAGGTTCCCAAACAATTCGGGTTATGAGGGCATGTCGAAAAACACGTTTTCTACCGTGGAGCCCAGGGTTGTCAGCTCGCGGAAACGAAAACTGCCAAAAGTCATAGGGCTCCCCCGGCACCACACCGCACCGAGTCTGTTTTCCGCGAAAAGTGCGTATTTCGAAATTTCACTTTTCTCCCAAAATCTCATAAACTACCACAAAAATGGTAGAAATTAGTACTAATATGGAAAGATCCTACCGAGCCCTACGACCGCCCCATATAAAGAAAACCAGTACATTGCCGCCATCTTGGAGAAAATCTCACTGGAAAATGGCGATTTTTCATTGCCGAAACAAAATGGCCGCCCCCGCCGCCGCCATGTTGAATCGCAAATGAAAACTCCCTCTACGTGAAAATTGACTATACTTCCGAGCTGAAGGAGCAAAAATCCCCCCTCCGGACCCACAAAAAAAGAAATGACAATCGCCCGAACAGAGGTCGAAAAATGTCAATTTTCGAGGTAAAATATCTCGGCCGCCATTTTGTTTTTTTTAACAAACCTTTTTTCATTGCCATTTTTTTAGCCCACTCTACGACCATTTTGAATATGGTAAACGTAGAGTGAATACTGTAGAAATTAAAAAAATTATCTCGCCGCCATTTTGTTTTTTGGCTGTACCGATATGGTACTTCAACTCATTTAAAAAAAATATAATCAGTCTCCATACATGAAAATGTCATTTTCCTACTTTAACTACCCGAAAAAAGCATGGAGTGAGTCAGTGAGTCAGTGAGTGGTAATTAAGCTTTATATATTATAGACTAGCTTTCGCTTGGTTGCCCCGGGCTGCGAGCAGCCCGGGGAGGTCACGAGTAGCTGGTGGAATCGGGGCGGTGGGGTTTCAAGTCCGCCTATTATTATGTCGGGTTTACAGTTTGAAATTGCGTAGAAAAGGTCAGTAAGTTCTATCTTCAAATAAAAGGTGTTAAAGGACACAAAGCACCATACATCAAAGAAAAAGTGTTGCCAGTTGACACTTAATAGAAAAAGAAATATTCAGTCGAAAAACGCAAGCAAAACCTAAAATAAATTTTGTATAGATACTTAAAATAAGTTTTGTCTTTTATTCTCTTATTCTTATTTATTAGTAAATTACTGTATAATATTAAAAAACAATCGAACATATATTTCCATCAGTGTTACTATCATTAATTAATCAATTAAATGTCAATTGCATTATTACATTACATTATTTATGTAAGATTTATTTATTATATGAAAAGGGAACCGATGTCGTGGCCAGATATTAGAATAGATTAATTCACGACGCGATGGGGCTTTAAGTCCGCCTTCGTTTCTGAATAGAAGCTTTCGCTTGGTTGCCCCGGGCTGCTCGCAGCCCGGGCAAGTCACGAGTAGCTAGTGGAATCGGGGCGGTGGGGTTTTAAGTCCGCTTTTGTTGCAGAATTTGAATTTCTCGATTTTTTTTGTTATGTTTGTTTTATAGTTTGAAATCGCCTACAAAAAGTTAGTAAGTTCTGTTTTCAAATGAAAGGTGTTTAAGCATCATACATCAAAGAAGAAGGGTTGCCAGTTTACGCTTAACAGAAAAAGATATATTCAGTCGAAAAACGCAAGCAAAACTCTAAATAAATTATAGTCTCTTGTTCTTATTCAATAGTAAGTTTACATTTAGTATGAAAAAGGATCGAGTAGATATTTCCCCTAGTGTTACCTTAAATAATACACCAAATAAATAAATGTCAAATTTCAAACTCATACCTGCGTAGAACACTTTCATTTTGAATATCAAGAGAACATGTTTTCTCAATAATCTAAAAGTATGGAAAAATATATTTTAAGAATTAAATACCGTGTCAAAAATTGGATTTTCTTTTCTCCATACTTACCCATTTGAAAGTGTAGGTAAGATACCTACACAAATGGTCCATCTATACACGCTATAAGGATCCCGAATTATCAAGTCCATCGAAATCAAAATTGAAATTAAAATGGTAACTGCGCGGGCTGGATTGCTCATAGTCAGCCTTACACGATCATCTTTTAAACATTATAAACGAGATGTTACCATCAACAAAAGCGATTCGTTTCTGGCACTTCGCCGGCCGCTGCCGCGGCACGCTCGCTACGCTCGCTCGGCTCGTGCGTTGTTTTTCATACACTAACCTAACCTAACCCATATGTTATAATAAACCTATACAACTTTTTGTTGCTTTACTTATTACAAAGTTCTTGAGCATAAACGAGTCACTTGTGGAATCAGAGCGGTGGGATTTTAAGTCGCCCTCTTGTTATGTTTACAGTTTGAAATTGCCTAGAAAAAGTTAGTGAGTTCTATCTTCAAATGAATTGTGTTTAAGTACACAAAGCACCATACGTCAAAGAAAAAGGCTTGCCGGCTTACACTAAATAGAAAAAGAAACATTCAGTTGAAAAACGCAAGCAAAACTAAAATAAAATTTGGAATAGATCGGCTTGTAGTCATTTATTCTTTTATTCTTATTCAAAAGTAAGTTAATATTTAGTTAATACAGATTTTGGAGTTTTAAGACCGCCTCTTGTTATGTTGGGTTTATAGTATAAAATTGCCTAGAAAAAGTTAGTAAGGTCTATCTTCAAATGAATTATGTTTAAGTACACAAAGCA